GCCACAATTGATATACACACACAAGACAGCTTTCCAGCACAAGTAGGTGAAATACTTAGGTCTGATTAATCTTCCCTAATTGGGGTCACTCAGGAAAAGTTCTCTTCTCTACACAGCATTCCAAAGACCAAGAGGCAAAATATTCTTCTCCCCCCAATACTTCCCCACACAAAAGCCTTACAGCTCACCTCCATTATAATGTGTGGCAAGAGATGGCGAAGGGAATACTTATGCTTAACCATAACGAAGCTTGCTTTGTGTATCTGACAACACAAATAACACTCCATTTAAATATCTAAGGCAGTGAATTCCAACATGGTACCTGGCGCACCATGGACACTGCCAATATGTTTTCCAGCTGCTTCCTGAGGCTTGAAGATAAAATCAAAAGGGTCTTGAATGAAAGAGAAAAAAGAGAGCTTCAAGTTACCAGCTGACCTCTTGGTTAGGTGTATCAAAGCTGTGCACCCTTAGCTATGTCATAAACACACTTATATCACTGTGCTTTGAAACCCTTCCTTTCTTTGGACACTGAAATCAAACCATCTTCTCCCCAGAGCAGAGAGCCAACTATGACTTTCCTCTGCCTTCTCAGTACAAGAGGTACTTCAGAGAAGCATCTACAGGGAACAGCCATTCTGAAGCAGTTGCTTATATCATAGCAGGACATTTGGCTTGGAACCTCCCAACATTTTGTGACACCTCCCAATGTTTGGTTATTACCCTACCTTCCACAGCAACTATTTTGTGACTGGCTACACCTCTGGAGTTGTGGTGGCTCAAGTGGTTAAGATGCTGAACTGCAGGCTGTGGAAGGTCGGTAGTTCAGCAGTTCGAGACCCAAGTGTGCCACGTGACGGAGTGAGCTCCCATCTCTGGCCCCAGCTCCTGCCAACCTAGCAGTTCGAAAGCAAGAAACTGCAAGTAGATAAATAGGTACCACTTCAGTGGGAAGGTAACAGCGTTCCGTGCGCCTTGGTGTTTAGTCATGTCGGCCAAATGACCACGGAAACGTCTTCAGACAGCGCTGGCTCTTTGGGTTTGAAACGGAGATGAGCACCACAACCCTAAAGTCGGATTCGACTGGCTTTCGAGCAAGGGAACCTTTACACCTCTGTAGCATCCCTTCTGTGGTGACACCCACTTTTTTCCTATCAAGTCACAATCAATTTATGGTGACCCCGTAGAGTTTTCAAGGCAAGAAACATTCAGAGGTGGTTTGCCATTGTCTACCTCTGCATAGTGACCCTGGGTATTACTTGGTGGTCTCCTATTCAAATACTAACCAGGGCCAACCCTGCTTAGCTTCCAAGCTCTGACTAGTCTGGGCTGTTCAGGTCAGGGCTGGTACACACTAGTCTCTCCCAAATTTCCAAGAAGTGCTCAGAAGCTCAGCAAACCTGGGGATACTGATAGAAGTTATAGAAAAGCATGCCAAGCACAATGAACCCATGTTTTATACGTAGGGCTCTTAAATGGACGGTTTGCACATATTTAGCCTAGAACAGCACACAGGGCACAGCATATTTCTAAACAAAAAAGAAATGAAAGTATGCATCCAAAACATACAAACTGCACAATTTAAAGCACATTTCACCACTTCCTATCAAAAGCCCTCTAACCACTGGAAGCTCAAGCCAGAATTTGCTCCTTATGTCTTAAGCAGACACTGCATTTACATTTTAAAACTTCTCTATGCAATTACGGATGCTACAACCGTTTTGTAAAAAGTAATTCTCAGGAAACCACATCCCATTTCTGTAAAACCAGCAAATGTACAGAACATGAATTTTCCTGTCCACATAATAAGCTCCACTTTATATTTTCATGTTTCACTGGACACTACCTTGAAATGTTATGCCTCTTTTAAAATAAGAGCATATTCGTGGAGTATGGAATCCCTGCAAGAACCCAAAAGAAATCTGCACACTATTTACAGGTCATGGAGGCAACCACTGTACGGTGTTCACTAGCCTCCATCCACGTGGAATCCCTTAAAGAATGCACTCCTAGGACAGTTGCACATCAAGAGACCAACATGATCCCGGAGGATCCTGGATGTTTTCTGTCATCTTCTGGGCATGAAGCAGGGGTCACTGGGGAGTGTGGGGGAGAAGTATTTGTGAACCTCCTGCACTGTGCAAGGGGTTGATGACCCTGGAGATCCCTTCCAACTCTATGGAACAGTTGTGGAAAACCCTTCTCCATGTACACTATGGTCATGACCGAAATCAGGCACCACACACAAAGAAGCTAAGGAGAATTTATGACTAACATCTGACTGACAAATGACACAGGCTGGTGGTCCCAGACTCAGCTTATCTAGTATCTAGTCTATAATGTGTGAATTAGCCTTCAGTGGTTGAGAGACACCCTTACACATGTTATATCTCTTAATATAAAAACTCTATGTTACTGTAAAGTTAAACACAAGCAACTCACAAACGTTTCAAGCTTTCTTAACTTAAAAGGCCTTTCAGATTCAAAATTAGCATTTCCTTAAAGGCACAGCAATCATCAATAACAAATCTAGTTTAAAGTGAAATGCAAGACTGCCAAGATGTTTATATAATTAATTTTTGACAAGGAAGATAAAAAGCCTTAACACCATTTAATACAATTTTGAGTAGTCCCAATTCTTATTAACCTTCATACATTTTACATATTTAACAGCTGATTTGTTACGTCAAGGATTCCAGAACTCTAAATTAATGCAACCCATGCAAACAAAAAGCATGGTTATACTTTAGGCCTACTTTATACTTTAGGCGGGACCTTTTACAGTTCCGCAGGGCCTGTAAAATGGAGCTCTTCCACCAGGCCTTTAGGTAAGGAGCCGCACTTTAAAAAACCTAAGACCCTGTGCCCAATACCACCATCCAGCCTGAGCTTGCCTATAGAAAAATCAACTGCTGACTGTATTTTTATTAAGTCTGTTGCGACTATTGTACCACCATTGCCATACAAATCGCTTTTAGTAATCATGTCGTGCTTTATACTGGTATTTATATTGTTGTTTTTACCTGTCGCAATTTGTTATGTAAGTTGCCCTGAGCCTGCCTTGGCAAGGAGGGTGGGGTATAAATTAAATAAATAAATAAATAAATAAAAACATGAACTGTCAAGTCAGGGGATGAAACTCATGCTTTCACCTGGCTTCAGATCTACTTGTCTTATCTCTACAGGATCATGGCTTACCTTCCTTACCCAAGATGCCAAAAGGTACCATGACCTATACGTATTACAGTGACCATTACCTTTTTAATCAATGAACTGCTCCAACAGTCCCAATACGAGCTATAAGCCAAGACACTGACTATCCAAAGCTTCTTTTTCATCTAGGCATGTTCAATTAAACCTCATACAGAATGCATATAGGTTAGAAATTCAGTCATTACTTAATGCCTCCTTTCTAAGGCAACTGAACCTTACTGAAGCCTGAAGATGCACAAGCAAGTCCATCAGCAACTATTCCAACATATTCTCCCTTTCCTCATCTGACCTTTGAACTTTTTTGCTTTAAACACAGAGCACAATATACAGTCCTAAACGCGGTCCATCCACGACAGAGACTCAGCAGAGACTAGGGGAGCACATAACTGTCACAGGCAGGCAAAAACACAGCACTCTGGCATTCATAATGATAACACAATTATCTAGCATCACACACAGCTTCCAAGTTAATATAACTGACACTTTTGAAAAGGGAAAACACCAGTCGGAACACTATCATCTGAACTTGATTATCTTTTCATACACACCGTACTCAAAGAAACACTGTACTCAAAGAAACCTAACTAGAAATAATTGAGGATAACCCTAAGAGCATGGACGTGACTAAAAAACTTCCTGAAGTTACAGTAAAACAAAACATATACATCCCATTAATTTCATACCATCCACATTAATGCCAGTGTTGAAAGACCAAACTGGGTTATTAAATGACAGCACCTACACAAAAACAGCAAAAAGCAAATTGTTTGTAACCACTGAATGTATTTTTTTTTCATCCTTGTCCTCTCAGTATGTGACACCCTGGGAAAAAGTCTTATACCAGGGTGGATCTACAGTTAAAAACAACAAATCTGCTTTATAATCAATCCAACGCTGTATACTGTATTTGAAACAACTCGTGAACAGCTGCTGCCCGTAATATCCATTTGCTCTTGTCACTAGGTACAATGGTAATCCACCATCATCCCCCTAAAAGGAGACCTCCAATTTCCTTTCCTCTTGCAGTCTTGACCCACTAACCTATTATGCTCACTCCCCAACAGGCTCTCAACTTAGCCTTGCCTCCCAAGGCTTTATGCAGCAATCACACAAAATGACAATTCCACACCTAAGCAGTCTCCAGCCCAGAATCCTCTGTCCCCATTTACCTTAATCCCCACAAGCACCTGTCCTCCCACCCCCCCCCGCCAATCCAACCCCTGTAACACCTGCCACACAACTGGTACTATCCACCACAAAAGAATCTCAACCCATTCCCCCCCCCGAAAAGCGTGCAGTCACCGTCCTACTCCTCCCCTTCTCATGCCAGTACAATGAAATCCCCCCCCCCCAAAAAAAAATCCTCTGCCACACCGCAATATGACCACCAGCCCACCCGACCTTCCTCCAACCGCAACCTGAACTCCCCTTTCTCCTCTCCATTCTGGACTCTCCCCCCCTCCCCCCGCGCAAGCCAAACAAAACCCCTCCCCGCGACGAAGAAGTGCAGCCCCTCACCCCAACAACACCCCTTCCGCGACAGGTCAGACTCCACAAAGCCCATTAACGCACCGCCTCGCCCCTTCCTTCCTGCACCCCAAGTCCGCCCCCTCCCACTCCCGCTTTGTAATGCCGCCGCCCCAGCAGGCATTCTCCTGCCTCTCAGTGCAGCGCCGTGCAAGAGCAACCAACCACCCCATTCCCTAATGACCCCACACAACACCCCCCCCCCCAGATCCGAACCCAGCAGCGAAACGCCCAGGTCGAGACCTCCGTCCCTCCCTCACCGGCTTGCGTGGTGTCGCTGAGGTCGTAGCCGCCGTTCGCGGAGCTGGTGGCGGCGGGGAACTCGCGCAGCTTCCTCCCGCTGAGGCAGAGGATGCCGGAGCTACTGGCCTCCTCCAGGGCCTTGTCAAGGCTGCGGCCGGTGTGCGGGGACGACGAGGCGGCTCCGCCCGACGAGGACGCCGCGGCTGAAGAGAGAGGCGGCGAGGCGCCGGCCCCGCAGCCAGAGTACCCGCCTGCCGCGCCCCAGGCCGGGCCCGTGCCGGGATACGAGAGTGTCAGGTGAGCCGGCAGGCCCAGGCCGAAGAAGCCCGAGCCCGGCTCCGAGGTGGAGGTGGAGGAGGAGGAGGCGGCGCTGGGGGGGGCTGGGCCGGGGACAGGACCAGGAGCCGGTCCACCGGGACCCTCGCCGCCCCCACTGGCCGTGGTGCCTCCGCCTTGCCCGGCCGCCATGGACGCCACCGCCAGGACTCCCCGACTCGTCCGCCACAATAATAATAACAGCGGCAGCCACAGGGTCGCCCACCGCGCAGGCGCGGAGCAGAGGGGGGGGCAAAGGAAGGGAGACAACGAAGTGAGGCTCAGAGCGCCTGCGCTTGCCCCGAGAAGGGGGCGGAACCAAGGGCAGGGTAGCGGTGTGTGCTTTACAGAGCCGACAAAGGGGAAAGCCGTATTTTGAGCTCTGAGGGTAGCGCTGTATGGCTCTTTTGTTTTTCTTTATTTTAGGTACTGCGCCTACCTGATACAGATGCATTAGTATCAACATCATTACTATTTAAATAAATATCAGTATTATTACTATTGCTTCAGTTATTTATTTAGAATATTTTAATACAATGCAATAGTATTGCTATTGTTTCTTTGGATTATTGCTATTGCTCTGTTTCACATTTTAAATAGAAGTAGCAATGATGCTACTACTAAGAACTTCTTAGCGTTGTTAGGCTATTTAACATATTAGTAGTACAGGCTGAGTTAGGCAGGCAGTGGCTCAGAGGTTAAGATGCTGAGCTGCAGACTGGAAGGTCTGTAGGTCTGCAGTTCAAGACCCTAGTGCTGTATGACGGAGTGAGCTCCCACCTCTGGCCCCAGCTCTTGCCAACTTAGCAGTTTGAAAGCAAGAAATTGCAAGTAGATAAGTAGGTAGAAGGTAACAGCGTTCCAGGAGCTGCGGTGGCTCAAGTGGTTAAGATGCTGAACTGCAGGCTGTGGAAGGTCAGTAGTTCAGCAGTTCAAGATCCGGATGCCGCATGATGGAGTGAGCTCCCATCTCTAGTTCCAGCTCCTGCCAACCTAGCAATTCGAAAGCAAGAAATTGCAAGTAGATAAATAGGTACCACTTTGGTGGGAAGGTAACAGCGTTCTGTGCGCCTTGGTGTTTAGTCATGCCGGCCACATGACCACGGAAACGTCTTCGGACAGCGCTGGCTCTTCAGCTTTGAAACTGAGATGAGCACCGCAACCCTAAAGTCGGATTCAACTGGCTTTCGAGCAAGGGAACCTTTACCTTTAACAGCGTTCCATGTGCCTTGGCGTTTAGTCATGCTGGCCATGGAAACATCTTCGGACAGCGTTGGTTCATTCAGCTTAGAAACAGATGAGCACCGCCTTGGATTTGACTGGCTTTTCGAGCAAGGGAAACCTTTACCTTTAGGCAGGGAATAGATCAAGATAGGTAGCCATGTTAGTCTGTCTGTAGCAGTAAAAATGAGTCCAATAGCAATTTGTGACAGGGTATGAGATTTCGTGAGTCACTGCTCACTTCTTCAGATACAGCTACAATGTGAGCAGTGACACTCAAAAGCTCATACATACCCTACCACAAATTTTCTTAGTCTTTAAGGAGCTACTGGGTTCTTGCTCTTTTCTACTTAGGCAGGGAACTAACTCCTGTTAACCCATGCATTACTCCTATATTTGTGTAACACAAATTGCCAGAGTTACTCTCTAATTTTCTCTGCAAAAGGGGAGGAGGAGAAGTCAGACATATACCTGAACCCAGCAACAAGCTGGAGTAATGTTAATCCTGGCTTAATGCCACTAGAAGATGGCATCAGAATGTAGCCACAGTTTTGCAGTGGGTATCTGAGGTTCCCCCCACGCAAACGCACCACCTGATAATAACCATTCTTGCTCACCCCCAACAAATGTAAATAGACATAGTTATCACTTTGCACCCTTGTTTATTATATGTACCATGTAAATAAAATCAACTCCCACAAAAATATTTAGTGTCACACCATTAGTGGCCCTTGCATCACATGGTATTTGAACACTATTGTTTTCAATTTTTTTCTATACCTATGTGGGAGTATGTATCTATATATCTGCCACCTGAGGATACACTCCATTCATCAGATGAAGTGGGTTGCAGCCTACAAAAGCTTATTGTACAATCAATAAGTCTTTAAGGTGTTCCAAGACTCTTTGTTATATTTATCCACTTCACAAGGGGAGGGGAGAATTGCCAGAGATAGAAAAGATACAATCCAGGAAAAGTGACTTCAACAAACAAAATCAATGGAGTTGAGTCTGTCAATTGATTCACCAGTGGATGGGAGTAATTCAAGCAGTAAAAATCTTAGGTTCAGCTGTGTTTCTGTAGCAGACTTCCTAATGTCCTTACATGGCACAATGGGAAATGCCTTTGAAATCAGCATCATGATGTGAAATGAAGTGAGAAATGACATGTTTGGAGAGCTGTAGCTTTCCCCTGCTGCAAGGCTGTTTCTGAATGTGTCAGCCAGTGGCCTGTCCTTTTCCCCCAGGCATACATTTGGGCATTTCTTGGGAAAGACACAATAAATAAGACTACAAGCCTTGGCCTTGTTTTTAGTGGGATTTACTGGGGCTAATCCGAAGCACAGATACTAATTCATGTGTTGCAACCTGGACCTGTAATTTTTTAAAAAAAACTGGCCTATATATTACCCATTAGATAAATTGATAAATTGCTGTGGTGGGGTAGACTGCTACTACGAGGATTAATTTGATTCCTAGTTTCTTATTTGCAGTTCCTCTTGAACTGGGCATCAGCCTCGCTTTCCCTTCCTTATCTGTCATCTTATCCTGTTAGGGTAAACACAGTGATAATAGCACTGTGTGTAAACGAGGTCTCGCCTTTTCTTTTCTTTTGGGGGGTTGTCTGGTTTAGGAACAATCACTGTATTCTTGTGGTGTCACCCTTTGTTCTATGACATTCACTGCAGCCAGAGACACAGAAGTTAAGCAGGTGAGCTACAACTGATTCTTAGGTCACCCATAATTTACCTGCTACATTTTTACTGTTAACAGAGCAACCATTTATGAGCTGCAGGGCATTTTACAAAGACCTACGAGCAGCTGGCAAGACAGAATGTTCATACTTGGGACTCCAGATTATTCATCCATTTCCCCATTGGACTGGGACCAACTACTCAAATGAAGACACGACCAGCACCATTCCCTTTTAGTCACAGAAATCTATGGGCAGAATTGGGCAGCTATGATCCACTGACCTCCGCTACTTTTTCTTCATAGTTCAACAGAAAAACAGAAGAAAGATATTACAAAGAAAGGCCTTTCTGTTGTTTGCAGCTTTAAAGATATATATAAGAACATAAGAGACGCCAATGTTGGATCAGGCCAAAGGCCCATCTAGTCCAACACTCTGTCACACAGTGGCCAAAAATACCAGGTGCCATCAGGAGGTCCACCATTGGGGCCAGGACATTAGAAGCCCTCCCACTGTTGACCCCCCCCCCCCAAGCACCAAGAAGACAGAGCATCACTTGCCCCAGAGCCCCTATCTATACCTTGTGGCTAATAGCCACTGATGGACCTCTGCTCCATATGCCTATCTAATTCCCTTTTGAAGCCGTCCATGCTTGTAGCCGCCACCACTTCCTGTCCATCTACATCCATCTACAGATGTGCACCTCATGCATCTGATGAAGTGAACTCTGACATACAAAATTTTTGATGGCATACATGGATTTTCTCTTCTGAGTGCCAGAGCAGTGATGGGAGGAGGCAAAATTGGCAGCTCTAGAAATTATGAGATACCTGCAACATGAGGGAAAGTTTTTCTGTCAGATTAGAGTGGGAGGGGAAGGAAGCTGTCCAAACTTATGACATAGAGTGGCAGGTGATGTGTTTGTATCTCAGGAAAACTTTAGAAGTGTTTCAGCTTGTGGCTCTTAAAAGTAATTTATTTTGAATTGACAAATGTGTGGATCACAGTGTAGGGGGTATATATAAATGAAACAGGAAGAACTGGTATGGTGTAGTGTCTAGTGCTGGACTGAGACTGAAAAGACTTGTTCAAACCTGCTCAAAGTTTGGGCCAGTCACTCTCTCTCCCCCAGCCTACCCCACAGGGATGCTGCAAGGATCCAATGGAGGAAGGAAAGAATCATGCATGTCAATCTAAGCCCCTTGGGTGAAGGGGCTGATTTCAGTGGGAACCGCTTCTGGCAGCAACTCTGATTCCTCATCCAATTGGGAGAGCATTCTCAGGGACTGAGGGACTGAATCAATACCAAATTTCAGGCAGATGGAACAAAAAGCAATTCTGTCTAGCTGGTCAGGAATGAGACTGAATGAGGCAGAATTCAAACAGGAAGGTTGCAAGCAGCACTTCTTGGCTTCAGCTGAGTGTGTCTGATATGGCTTTATGACAGCTGAGACCACCAGGATGGTGCAATTACAAGACCAATTTAGGTGCATCTGGATGACATTTTTAAGGAGAAAGGAAGCATATCTCATACACATCAGACCTCCTGCAATCCCCCCACCACAACAGCAAATGGGTGTACCCATTCCCCCCAAAAAAACAGTTGGCAGGATTAAGATTTATTAATTAAGACATTTATATCCCACCTTTCCTCTTGGTTCAAGTCACCTTACAATAATAATTAAAACATTCCCTGCTAGAACCAAAGATAAAATAACAAGCTCCAAATCCCCCACCTTCCTTAAAAGATGCTTGCTGTTCAAACCCTCTAAAGCCCTGGCAAACTGGCAGGCCTTACAGCACCCCTCCTGAAGATTGCCAAGGAGAGGGCCTTTCTCACCTCTTCAGGGAGCCCATTCTACAGAGTTGGAGCCACGCTGGAAAAGGCCCAGGCTCTGGATGATGCCCCATGGGCCACCCAAAGTGGCAGGATGGCCAACAGATGGCTACCTGGTGACTGCATTTGATGCACAGGAACATATGGAAGTCCTTCCATATGGGTAACTCCTTCCAGGTTGCTGCTACTCCAGTCAAAATTCATAGTTCCTCCAGAACTGCCTAAATAGTTCAAGTCTGAAGCCAAGCATCTAGCTGCCTCCAGGAGAATTCCAGAGGTATGAAGAACATTTTAATGTTAATAAGTTATATTTGGCTATTTTACTGATTGTATTCTTTTAGATGTGAGGCTGTATTAATTCTTATACTGGTTTTTAAATTATTGTAAGCCGCCTTGAGCCGCTTCGGCGGGAGGGCGGGGTAAAAGTCTAATAAATAACTAAATAAATAAACAAACATGCCCCTGTCTGACTCTGCTAGTCACATGGCACTCTCAGGGCCACAGAAGTCAATTCTGCTCTTTCCACAGAGAATTACGCCCCCCCCCCCCACACACACACACAAGGATGAGCATCAGGCAGATTCAATGGATGCAATAGCATTGAATAGCAATGGATTCAATAGCACTGCACCAGAGAGATATCTGTCTCTTTGCTTTCAGGGCTGTACCATTCAAAGTCAGGCAAAATGGAAACAATACTTTCTTATTTTTCCCCTCAGGTCATGCCTTCATTCTATAACCCTGCTTATTTTTTCCCTCCACCAGTGTTACCTCTAAGATGAGTTAGTGTGAGCTAGCTTGCAGTTTTTTAGCCTCCGGCTCACACATTTTTGTCTTAGCTCAGGAAGGATGGCTCCAGAGCAAACTGATTTATGCAGCAACCAAATTGCTTGCTCACAACTTTAATGCCAGGAGCTCACAAAGTAGAATTTTTGCTCACAAAAATCCAGTTTAGAGGGAGCATTGCCCTCCACTCCTATTTCCAAAAAGATAGCTGTATACAGGAAATGCAGGAAGGGGGGCAAAGCTGTGTGCACCCTCCAGACAATATCAGAAATGAATTCTGCACCCATGTTCTGCACTAAGGCACGCTGAAGGCCATGGACTGCAGACATGCTGCAAAGGCACTTTCTCTTTTTTTGGGGGGAGGGTGATAAATTTTTCTCCTTACGGTGCAGAAGGCAATGAGTTCTGGGGGGCGGGCACGGAAGTCATATGGGGGGAAAGAGCAAATCGGCAGAGGCCATCTATTTGCAAAGCCATCTAAATTGCCACCATAAGGACCAAGGAATTGCAGGGCTTTATTCGTTTTTAAAAGGTCGTTACAAAAATCTCATTGCGCTCAAACTCCTCAATTCTGCCTCCAAGGATCGTTCCGCTTAAAACAAGAATCCACGTAATAATCCGGAATCGAAAAGGATTTGGAAAGTCCACAACGGCTACCAAGTCCAGGCGCGCGTCCCTGGAAATGCAAGTCCCGTTGCCCTCCGCAAGACTGACCCCGAAGTACACATGCCAGGCTCAAGAGGAAGTTTCTGATGCAGCCGGACGGGTAGGAATCCGGGACGGGAGCGGCTGTTGTGCCGGTGCCAGGGGGAGGGGGTGCCGTCGAGACAGCTGGCGGGAGGCAGGCGCTTGTCGGGCGCAATGCCAGGACTTCTTCCTCGGTCGGCCGGGCCGCTGCGTGCGTCCACGCCAGATCCCGCTGTGGTCGGAGAGCCTATGGAGGCGCCGGGCGGACAGCAAGAGCCAGCGGCGGGGGCAGGATCGGGGCCCAGCGGCTCAGAGGAGATCGACCTGTCCTTGGGTAGGTGTGCCGGGACGCGGGGGCAACGAGGGGTGGGTCTGGAGAGGTCGGGGCCCTCGTGCGTCAGGGGCAGGTGGGGGGACTGAGCCCCTTCCACCAGGAAGGAGAGGGGCTGGCACCGCTCGAAGTGGCTCTGCCCAACGAAGCCCCCCCCCCCCCCAAAAAAAACCCTTCCACACTGGAGTCAGCCTCTCCTCGTGGCCTTGGGGAGCAAGGGATTAAGGAAGGGCCGGGAAAGGCTGCCGAACCAGGCCTGGGAGCCTTCCGCGCAAAGTTATTGCTGGAAACTTCCCACCCCAAGTACTAGACGGACTGCATCGGCCCCATCGTGCTGTCACCCCCACTCCTCGCTCCCCCCTCATGTGCAGCCTCCCAAAATAGAGCCGCCTATCCCCCCGCAGTCACTTGACCCGGCGCGGGCTGCCTGGGACTATTTATGGCAGCTGACGAGGAAGGCCCAGCAGCTCCCTGGCGGGCAGTCGCTGCACACGCCCGATGACGGAGGCCAGTCCCCGCCCTCGTGGACCTGGGTGGGGTTCCTCGGTCCCCCTTCCATCCGCTCTGCGTATACCGAATTTGACCCCAGTAGCCTCTTGGGGGAATGAGCGTTCGAGAGTCCCAGCTCCTTTCCTTAGATATCTGACCAAGGGAGCTGTGGCTCTGGAAAGTTTATACCCCACAAATCTCTTCTACTACAGACCAACACAGCTATCCTCTGAAACTATCTGTATCGCCTGCATCTGCCAGTCCCTGAGGGCCGATTCATAGCAGACATTCCTCTAAAAGATTCGACTCTCAGATTTTTGGTCTGAGCTGTCTGCATGCAATGGCACAGTAAATAAAATGTGTGGCATTAGTATCCCGACATTCTTCCACGGTCGAATTCTAGGCTCCTTGCATGTATGGGTGTTCCCAAGTGTTCTCTCACCCAGTCACTGACCAGCTACAGCGTAAGCAAGATGGCTACATCAGGTGCCATTCCCTGGTTTCTGTCTTCCTAGAGACGCTGTTATTCTTTTTTGCTTTTGTCCTCATCTGTTTTCATCTGTAAGTGCCCTTCTGTAACACACTTGAACTTGGTACTCCAGATTTGGGCTTTTCCAGGGTGAGTAATGCCATACTTCTCATCTGCTTGGATGGAGCTCTTAGTATAATCCTGAAATTGTCAAAACCCAGATCGCAATAGGGGTTTGCTTTGTAGCCCACCCTCAGTCATTGGCAAAGTATACCGCCCCACACACATACACTTGGGGGGTGGGAGATGGGGTTGAAATGTTTAAATAAATAAATGACCCTTCCTTCAGTTATCACTTTACATTTTGTAGAAATTCTGTGTTGAATTTCATTATTTTGTTCTCAGGCCTCCATCCAATTGGGATTACTGAATGTCTAGCCTATCCCTTTCCATGTTTTTGTCACCCACCCATTTGATCAGTGTATGGTACACAATTCTGCCTAATACCTAACAATCGCCTCCCAGGGAGATTGTCCCATTCTAAATGGTTTCCTCTAGAGGTAATTAATTAATTCATTAATTATCGTATGGCAGGGTGTGTAGTAAAGCCAGGAGATACTAAGATTGTCTGGCAGTGAGAAGTTCTAGCTCTTTTAGCATTATACACCACTAGGTGGCAAGCTAGACTTTTTAAAGGCAATAGACATTTCAGAGGTGGTTTGCCATTGCCTACTTCTGCATCACACCCCTGGTATTCCTTGGAGGTTGCCCATCCAAATCCTAGCCAGGATTGCCCCTGCTTAGCTTCCGAGATCTGTCGAGATCATGCTAGCCTGGGCTATCCAGCCCAGGGCTCACCTAGAGGTGAAGGCTGTGGAGTCTCATGCAATGGTCCTGCAACACAGCCAGGGTGGTGCAGTGGTTAAGAGTGTTGGGCTGGGATCTGAGAGATCCAGATTTGAACTCCCACTGCACCAATGGCCCCCCTCTCTTAGAGGTGGAATTTGCCCCTACGAGTCCAAGGCCACCACCCCAGGGCTCAGGGAGGCAAGGGAACGTTTCGCCCCGCCCTGTCCTCCCCCCACACGCGGGCGTCGCAGCTGCCGCTGAGAACGGCGACGGCGGCCATAACTTTTTAAAGAGCCCCTCCCGAGAGCTGGGGGAGCCAGAATGACCTCTAGTGTGTGATGTCACACGCAAGAGGTGGAATTTGCCCCTACGAGTCCAAGGCCACCACCCCGGGGCTCAGGGAGGTGGGGGAACGTTTCGCCCCCCCCACCGTGTCCCAACTGATGGCTGATGGGAGCAGGGAGCGGTGCTTATGTGCCCGCCCCCTGGGCTCCTGACTGGCAGAGCACACCGCTCCAGTGCGCTCCGGCAGGAACCGAGGCCTGTTTGTGAGGATAAAACCGAGGAGGGGAGAATGTTGTAAGCCACTTTGGATCCCCAGTGGGGATAAAAGCTGGGTATGAATATCTAGATAAACAGGAAGTTCTAATTTCAGTTTAAGACTGACCTGTGGGGTGTTTGGGGAATTTGTCCTTGCTTTCACAAAGTTTAGTTTCTGCCCCCTGCCCCCTAATGACTGTAAAATAAGCAGATGAAACAAGCTTCTTTGATTTGTTTATTTGGGTTGTGTTTCCTAATCCAGATGACATCATAAAGCGTAACAAGAAAGGACATATAAAGGCAGTAGGGAACAGATGGAGGCAGCGGCTCAAGAACAGGAACCCATCCTACAGCAATGGAAGACCTCGATTTCGGAGCTGGGCACCACAAAATGTGCCAGGTACATACAAAGTGGTGAACAGAAGTGGGAAGAGGAGACCTCAGAGGTGAAGGAAGGCAGCAGGCAGGTTTTATGCACCATCCACTTTTAGTTTTGGCGGTTGTTATCCTGGATCCCTTATCCTGAGATATCAGCCCTCCTTTCAACTCTGCACTAACACCCCTTTGCTGCCTATCTTGCGGCATTTACAAGACCACTGTGCTTCTCTGTAGAATCAAGACCTCCACCCATCAAGGATAAGCAACCCTGCTCTTGTTCAAAAAATCATTATTCCCAGGAGGGGGAGGGAGCCATTAGTCAGCCTGGCTTACTAACACTTTATATCTTATTTTCCACCACTGATTCATCCCTTCATCAGCTAATGAAATCTGAGGCTAAACTGAGTCCAGGAGTAGCAATCCTAAAATATTATATGATCATACTAACAGAATACTCTGCCTCTCTGCCCCTGCGCATTCTTGTTTTTTTGTTCGTTTAGCAATTTTCTCCCTATACCCGTATTACATCTGACTTTAATCTCGGCCTGAATTCAAGCTCTTCTTATTAATTTTTTTTTTTTTGCTCAATTAAATGTGGTGTTTGGAGAGCTGTGAACAGATTTCCTGCTGGGTTTTTTTTTTTTACTTTTTACTGTAAATAGCAGCCATGCAAGGAGGCAATCTGGATCCAGGCTGCAGAATGGGTTACGCTTTTCCTCCTTTGCCACCCATTTTCCCAGTTCACTGATCAATCCCCCCCCCCCCCCGAAGCATGTGGGCAGCTCCACCTTCCACAGGGCAAATAGCAGCTTGGGGGAGGGGGCAATCGAAGTCAGGGAAGCATTCACTCCCCTTCTCCTGTCTCCAAGTTCCAGGGTTGGATTAGGGCATTCACAATTATGGACTCCCCCATGTCATGTCCAATTGTGTCTTCAGTCAGTCAAAGCTATTTGGTAGGCCAAAACCAAGCTTGTTTACTCAGAAGTAAGTTGCACTGTGTTCAGTCACACATTCCCTGACCTGGATGCCTTCTGAAGGCCTTCATGTCAATATATTTTTTTAAATTTGTGGATTAGGTTTGACAGATTGCTCTACGCTGTTGGGAATAGAGTCTCCTGGAAATCCCTTTCAAACAGGCCCAGGGCTGCTTTTGTTTTCTGGTTAAGAGGGCTCTTGTTGACATGTTGAACCCCACACTGACAACAAGGAAAAGGTTACTGTGAGTTTCATACAGTACTATTTTTAAATTGAGGACATCTTACACAAAGGCTGAATATTAAAGGAAAAGCCAATCAATAATGAAGGGGGAGGAGAAATGTGAGTGGAAAGAAAAGAAATGACTGAGACCAAAGAAATGTTAAGTGAGGTATAATTGTGAGGTAATTTCATAACAAGCATACCTGAGGAAAAGTAATCCATAAACTAAACGCAGAACTAGAAAATAGACCATAACAAAGAAACCACTTCTCTCTTTGATGAATGGCCTGGCTGTGAATTAGGAGAGCAATTTATCAAAGCTATGTACCAGTTAAGAACAGGAAGAAAGACTTTCTGCCACAGGGGAATTTCTCATGCCATGGTTTGCCTTCAGGTAGAAGAACCTCCACCTGAATCAGTCTAGTCCCTACAGACTTGCTCCACTGGTCGCAAAGGACGGTGTCAGAACACATCAAGAGCTAGTGGGAGAGGGGTTGAATTTTCTCCTGAGAAACTTGGTTTCAAAACTCCCAATGCTATCTCCAAGTATATCACCCTCTCCTCATGTATACATATATTTATATGTACACACATATACATTCCTTGAGGAAGGAACGGAATGCTATGTTTCCATACTATAAAACTCCAACAGATCTGGCAGTCGATGTAGGTGCCCTGAAGAGCCATGTTCTTCTCCCTATTTCGGACACCATTCCCAGCAGCAAGTGGATTGTATGGTCTATTGGTGGCTATCCCAGGAGCTCTCTCTCATTCTTGCCGTGAGCTCATGGGCTCAGAGTATCTAGCCAAGGGTGGGCCCTCTGCTGGGCCACAGATGTCAGCAGATGTCTAGCCAAGTAATGCCTTGAGACTGGCCCTGAAAACTATTCAGCCACAAAGTTCCGCTGGCGATCTTGGCCTCAGATAGTTCACAGGCGAACCTGCCTCTTAGGGTTCTGTCAGGATAAAAATGCGGAGAACCTCATGTATATTTGTTAGGGATTTCAAAGTAAAATGCAGAGTTAATAAATGCAGCAGAACACTTTCTTTAAACAAGAAAGTTTACTAATGAGGGAAGGATAAACTGGGAAATACTAGAAAACAAACAAAGAATTAACATCCTCTCTGACTCTTCTAACCTACATCTTGACTCTCTAAAGTCTAAACCACATGTGCTAGCCCCTGACGAGAATTAGAACAAAGAGCAATAAACTTTCTAAGCCTTCACCCCTCGGACATCTTCTGATCTATTGATTACCCAATTGGAGAATCCCAAACCTAACAAAGTATGTATTTTATCACCTTGCTCTGGCAGCAAATATGTATCTGACTAAATAGTTAGGATATCAGCATCCATCAACAAACACGTAAATTCTTCCATGACTTCAGGGAGAGAACTTGCAAACTCCAACAATATTTCTCTGAGCTCTCTGAAGGAAGTAGTGGGTAAAGATGTGAAGAATAAAAAACAAGCATTTTAAATGCACACATAACCATCCAAGTTTTGTTTTCTATTTTTTACACAAGAAACCATAACCTCAACCATGTATTTCTTTAGGACCCTACAGGTTTCGAGGAGGGTTTAGAAAACAGCAGTATTACAGAAAACAGTTTTGGAATAGCATGACTGGTCCCAGGCGAAGAATGACCACCCAGACGAAGAATGGCACAAGCCCCTTAAATCGGCCAGCATCAGCTGAACAGCAGGTAAGGCCAACCTAACATCCCATTTTCCCAAACAGCTTTCTAATGAGGAAGTCAAACTTGATATCAGGGGTCATTTCGTAGAAAAAGAGGTGCAGGAGCTCATTAGCATAACTCATTAGCATAATTTATTTGCATATGCGACACCCTTTGACATCACCGGAAGTGTATCAGAAGGCAACACCCACCGCTCAGGCTCCACTGGACTGTTTTGGATTGCTAGCTATTGGGGGGGGGGACATGCAGATCTGTCCTCGCAGAGGAGGGAGAGCTTGTACTGGAATAAAACTTGGTCTTAAAAGTGCCACTGGACTGTTCTGGACCGGGGGACCGGGGGGGAGCTCTGCAACTTACCTGGCTGCTTCTTGCTCTGACTGAGGGCTGCTGAGAGCAGGGGGTGGGGCTTGTTGCATGTGCCCCCCCCCTGGGCTCTTTACTGCCGGAGCTCCGCTCCTGTGCGCTCCTGCAGGAAATGACCCCTGCTTGATATGTTAATGGTGAATGAATGAATAATCTATGGTTAATTTCTAGGGCAAGCAGGATGAACCCATGTTGGAGGGGAACAGTGATGGAGTGGCAGCCAATCCACAGCAGGGGCAGCCCACACGGGCCAAGTGGATCAGACGTCCAAATGCTTTCCCACCCACACAAAGGTAAAAGCTTGGTATATCCATCACCTCTGGATTTCAAATGTTTTGTAAATATATAGCATCCAGTTCAGGGAGCAAATTTCAGATTATTGTGGAAGGATACCTAGCCATCAGTTTTTATGACAAACATTCAGGGCAGCAGTTCCAAATCTGGAGTTTCCAGTCAGCGGTTTGACTGGGCAGGGGTGAGAGTGGAGAGTAAGACTGATTTTAAATATTTCTAACTTCAACATTCACTTTCAGGAAATGCATCTAGCAGTGCCATCCTAAGGAGCGTTACACCCTTCTAAACCCATCAGCATCAATCGACTAAGAAGGGTGTAACGCTGCTTAGGTTGGCACTATAAATGTTTAGTTTGTAAGGAATTTCGCTGTATTAATTTGAGACCATTCCCACCCTCCAATAACAGGCCTTTCCAACTAAATCGAAGACCAGCTTTTATGCAGAGGCAATCCCGGTTCCACTTCAGCAGAGAGGTGAGTTATGTTAGGTCGAAGATTTGGTGAAATGCAGAGTTTACTAGTCTCACTCTCTGGTTTCAGCCGCCTCTGAAATCTGATTCCGTTCTTAAATTAGTAGCCGCAAAACTAATACTAGTGCTTCTTAGCATTTATATAGCATTTTTGGCTTTCAAAGTGCTTCACAAAGCTCTGGTAGGATTTGAACTAAACTGGTAAAGGTAAAGGTTCCCTTGCTCAAAAGCCAGTCGAATCCGACTCTAGGGTTGCGGTGCTCATCTCCGTTTCAAAGCCGAAGAGCCAGCGCTATCCGAAGACGTTTCCGTGGTCATGTGGCCGGCATGACTAAACACTAAGGCACACAGAACGCTGTTACCTTCCCACCGAAGTGGTACCTATTTATCTACTTGCAATTTCTTGCTTTTGAACTGCTAGGTTGGCATTTATATAGCATTTTTGGCTTTCAAAGCGCTTCACAAAGCTCTGGTAGGATTTGAACTAAACTGGTAATTTCCACCAATTTCCCCTTCTCACTGCACACCCAACATATCATTCCTTAGGGTCACTTATATCCCACAAGCAGCATTTTGTGGAGATCAGTGGGCTGCAGTGGGAGGGGGGAGGCAGGAAAGTTCCATTCTGCCACTGGGAAATTTGGTCTGGACCCAACCCCATTATCTCTGCAATCCTTATATGAATTGTACAAAGCGGGCCATTGCTATATCCATATTGAAGAGGAGAAGCTGAATATGACATACATATGAACTGAATCAAACCATTAATTCACCTAGCTTGGTATTGTCTGATTTGACTAGCAACACCTCTTCAGGGTCTCAGGTGAAAAAAGCCTTTTTCCAACACGTCCTAGCTGAGATCTTTTAACTAGAGATGCCAGAGAATGAACCTGGGATGCATGCGAAGCATCTGCTTTTCCACTGAGTTATGGCACCTCCTTAAGTTGAGACACAGGGCCTTGTTTGAGACCACCAATGGGGTTCATAGTGGACGTTCCCTTTACTGCAAATATATTGGCACAAGTGGGGGACCCAAAAAGACGTGTGTGGGGGGGACATCTCATTTTCCCTTCCCCCACTATTTCCTCTTTCACTTCCTTGGCAATCCCATAACCTCTTCCTTCTTGCTGTTTCCATCCTACCCACCAGCCAACCTACCTTTATCTGACCTCAGCCTTTCCTCCTTCCCCTTCTCTAGCAGCCTCTATGCAGGAAAACTATGGCCCAATTGTGCGGTGGCTGTCACTGGGCTGGGACCAGTTGCGTAGTGGGGAACTCACAAGGACTTGAGGGCACCTCCCTTACTTCTGTATGCACCTTCCCACACTATTTCCTCTTTCCCTCCTCCTGGCAACTCCCATATCCTCATCTTTCCCAGTTTCCCTTTCTCCTTCCCACCCACCAACTGTCCTACCTTTTATCTGCAACTCATATTCAGCTATATTTATTATTTATTTACTTCACTTATACCTTGCCTTTCTCCACAATGGGGACCTAAAGCAGTTTACATCATTCTCCTCTCCTCTATTTTATCATCACAACAATCCTAAAAGGTAAGTTAGGGTGAGAATGTGTAACTAGCCCAAGATCACCCAATTAATTTCTATGGCAGAATGGTGATTTAAACTTGGGTCTCCCAGATCCTAGTCTGAAACTCTAACCACTACACCATAGTGGTTTTTATGGGGTGGCTGGTGGTGAACAGTAGCAAGTAGCCAGGCCTGAGTGAGTTGTGCAAGTCACACCATAGCAAGTTGCCTAATGGTTGCTGCCAAACCTGACCTTAATGAGTCTTCCTTCAAAGGTCAAAACAGCCCTCGAAAGGGCCCTGCCCCCCTCTCCCTGCCTTTTACTGACAGAAATCAAGGCTTCAAGGCTGGCAGTATTGTGTGGTTGCTAGCAACTGTCACAGAGGGCATTTGTTTTTTAAAGCTCTAGGCACTACTGTTATTTTGAGGGGATTATAACTCCTCAGTGTTGTTGGGATTTTTTTTAGATTTCAGATTTTTCTGCAAACCTGGGACTTTTCTCAGGTTTGTTGAAAGCTCTGTCTCATCTGTTCATGGCTCTAGTCTCCAGATTTAAGTATCCACAGATCTAGCTATGGTGAAAATTAGCTATATTGATGAGAATTTCCTGTATCCTGTCAAAAGAGCAGCCAGCCAGATCCTACAGGGAAGCTAACAAGCAGGACACAGCAAGGATTGCAATAGCCTATTGTTTTTCCCCCAATATGAGACAGACTGCCTTTGAACATGGTGGTTCCATAAAACAGTTAATGTTTGAATGAGTAAAGGACAGGTGTATTGGCCCATGCTATGGAACTCCAGATTTTTTGTCAGTTCTGGAAGACTCATGTTTTAACATAAGGTTCACTGACACTACCAAAGAATAGTTCATGTCAGAGTTTATTTTGGAGAGGAGCCAAAGTTTATGCTTTTTGTTCCCTTTTCTCTTACAGCAAAAAGAGTCAAGTTCAAATGGAAAGCAGCCACGGATGAGAAGGTAAACAAGGGAAAATTTCCCCCTTTTTTAAAAAATGAAAAATAAATTGGTTAATGGGAAAAATAAAACCAGAATATTTCCCTCTTGTGGTAGGTGGCAGCTTCAACCCAGCTCCGGAGCTGTCCTGACCATTTCTGTGTCTAACCTCCAAGCTAATCAAATGAAAATGTAAGTGAATGTACAGCTTGGATGATCTTTGTTCTTCTTTTAGTTGTCTCATATTTTTGGCTTATTGCACCAACCAGCACGTAATCTGTTTTCATTTTAATGCCTATACAAATCATTCTGTCCCCTAAGAGCAGCAGGAGAGGTGGTCGTATAAAAGTCCTCAGGCTAGGGATTTGCAGAGTCTCGATTTGCAGAGTCTCCTGTTTCAAATGGTGGTGGAGGAAAGTGCTATCAAGTCACAGCTCTTATAGCAACCCCCATTGGGTTTTCAAGGCAAGAGACATTCAGAGGTAGTTTGACATTGCTTGCCTCTGTGCCACAACCCTGGTATTCCTCGGAGGTCTCCCATCCAAATAATAGCCAGGGCCAACCCTACTTAACTTCTGAGATCTGATGAGATCAGGCTAGCCTGAGTTATCCTTCGCTGTATGAAATGGCCCAGTTTTCCACATCCCTGTTTATTTTCACTCAACATGGAAATAAATGGCCATCTTTCCCAATGAATGGGCACAAGTCAGTCTCTCTCTCTCTCTCTCCTCTCTCTCCTCCTCCCCCCCCTCTCTTTCTTTCATGCTGGAGATTCCATATTTCTGTATATTTCTGTAATCCCCCATTATTGTGGACAGTGCAAGAAATTAGTAAGTGATGATACTAGTTAATCTCTTATCAAAGGAGAGCTAGTGGACTGGCTTACTCCACATTTTTCCCCTGTGAAAAAGATATCCTTATGTTGTGTGTCTGTTCAACAGGCCAGGAGCCAAGCGCCCATTCTTGAGAGGGAGAAGCACCCCAACCAAGATGACCCATCCTAAGCCCAAAGGGGTGTCTTTGAGGTTCAACTTCCGTGCCATGGCTAACCAGGTAAAGAGAACTCCTCAGGTTGTGCAAAAATTGCAGCAGTTCACATGGTTGGCTGTTGCTCACAGAATGATTTGCTTCCATGAACGAATCAGTTCTGAGGTTTCAAAAATAGAGGATTTAGGCTTCTTTTTCTAAGTTCTGCAAAATCACTCCTGCCCCAGGAGCAACACCCCTGTAGTGTCCAGAATGATTTAGTGCAATTTTCTCTCTTCAGTGCTGTGTGTGTTTAAGTGGAGGACTGAAAGTGAATGCAAGTTAACACTTTTCCCCTTCTCCTTAGACGAGCTTGACGTTGAATGAAAGGTTCTCTGGCCTGAGGCACAAGCGTCGTTTTACACCACTAAGAAACATGAGCCGTATGGTCACTTTACCGTAACTTTGCCCTCTTGGTGGATTCAGACCAGCTCTGGAAAAGGATTCGGTCACTGAACCCTACTGATTTTCCGCCACTGCCTTAATGATGTTTTGGGGTCATCTCGACATGGTTATGGACCCATCTAACCTAACACCAATGAAGTTTCTGCACAATGGTGGCCCACAGACCAGGGTCAGACTCTTCTTCCAAGCCTCACCACTATGGACTCCCAGGTCATCTCACCCTCATGTTTTTGGCTTGGGGTAAACAGAGTTTGGCTTGAGGCCCCTGGATGAGCCAGTACCATGCCTGATCTCGGCTTTGAGAGAGTCACGTGGGAAGGAAGGGGCCCTCAGCTTTGTCCTCCAACACATGAGTGAGCATTGTCTCTTTCATGGTACGTTTGCAGCTCCACAACTTTGGCTCAAGAGCCACTTCTTATTGGTTCCCTTTCTGCGCTGGGATCAGAAGGCAAAATATCTTGGTTGGAGGAGGAAAAGAGTGTTGTGTGAGGGTGTGCTGCCTAGGGAATGTGGGTGGGAGTTTTGTGTGTTTTGGTGGAAAGGGTAGCCTGGAAAGCACTTTTACAGATTAGTTTGAACATTTGGTTGTGATGAGCTACTAATGCACTTAATAAAACCATTTTAGAAGCTTCACAATCCTGTTATATCTTTTTAACCACCATAGCGTCTGAGGCTCAAATTTAAAAAATACACCACTGAAAGTGCAATCCTAAACAGTTACTCCCTTCTAAGCCCATTGATTTTAGCAGAATTACACCCTTCTCAGTTTAGGATTGTACTATGAAAGAATAAGGAAATATGGGGGGAGGGCTGGATTGAGTGAATTGTGGAAAGAAAAACTCCATTTGGCCATTCTTGAACAGGAGATTTGTAACTGCTCCTGACTGCATTTCTTCATAGCAAAAATGAGAGTTGACAGATCACTCAGAGAATGTTTTGCTTTTTTATTTACTTGGGTCCCTGCCACACGAGGGACAAAAAGAACGGGCAAAGTGCGGCTTTTAAAAGCCGCACCAAAATAGGCACGTGGCGGCGGGATCATACAGATCCTGTGAGCCGCCGTGCAATTGCTCCCTGGCACGATCAGATGCTGGGGAGACGGGAGGCTGCTGAACTGCACATGTCTGAGCATGCTCAGTTCGGCCAGGACCCGGGGATGCACCAGCGGAAGAATGCACCGGCGATCCCACGGCCGGCTTTGATGCGGCCGTTCGGAAAGAACCACCTCGGTTCTTTTTTGCTGCGGATTATCGCCGGAAGGGCTGGATCGGGGATGGGCGCGCAACGCTTCCCAGATGTTGCGGTGGGATCGCGCCCGTTTGCTCCGCCCCCGATCCGTCCCTCTCCCGGCCCTAATCCTCTCATGTGACCGGGGCCTTGGAAAATGTATATGTCAGCTCTCCAGAGATCTGCTCGAGGTGGCTCAAAAGGAGAACTGTGATAAAATAAAAAAGAATAAAACCATCATAAAAATGAGCAAACCATAAAATATCCAGCCTTAAAAAAACTGTCCAGACCATAAAGCAGCAGAACTACTTTGGAAGAAAATTTGGAAAGTGGCTTTCCACAGACATACTGGTTTCACCTTAGAGAGGAGGAGGAGGTGGTGGTGGTGGTGGGTGTTACATCAGATGTTTGTGATTTCTCTCTTGAGGCCCAGCTGAAAAAACCATAAAACAAGCTGGTTTTCAAAAATAGCCTTCCTTCCTTCCTTCCTTCCTTCCTTCCTTCCTTCCTTCCTTCCTTCCTTCCTTCCTTCCTCTGAACCTTTCTCTTTCCAAGCTGTATCCTGATAAACAACCTCCTACTTTGACACTTTTCTGGCCAGTTTATGATGACACAGAAGTCTGTGTTTTTACAAACCAAGCCACCAGAAGGTGGCAGCAAACATCAGCCAACAACTGGCTGCAATGCCATTGCTGTGGCTAGAGGCCTCCGGGAACGGGGGCTGCTCAAACTGGGAAATGTTCCCTTCGCAGTCACTTTGACCTAGCTGGCTTCAAGTAACTGGTTTCCTGGCTGCCACTGAGATTCTTGTATATTGTGGAGAAATGATGTGTGCACAGTGCAAGTGGTAGCCAAACCAGCAGGTAGCATGGAAAACAGATCTGCCACCAAACAGTCTCATTAATTTTTTGACCATTGCTCGATGGTAACAAACTCCCACTTTGTTGCCTAGGGACATCTAGGTTCTACAGGAAATACCTCTTGGCACACTTATCGGTAGCTCTGACTCTGAGGCTTTCCTTTTCTGCCCAGTTCTGGTGGACCTCAGTTTCTAAAAAAAATATTTCCTCTAGTTACTGCTTTGCAGAGCTCACCAGATATTTTGGTACGGAACATAATACCTTATGCAGCCTGCACCATCTGATGCACTGGAGCTCTACTGGAATCACAATTGATATCCAGGCTACAGAGGAGAAGAATAGTAGGTTTGTATGCCTTGTTTTTCTCTACCCTAAGGAGTCTCAAAGTGGCTTACAATCTCCTTCCCTTCCTCTCCCCACAACAGGCACCTTGTGAGGTAGGTGGGGCCAAGAGAGTTCTGAGAGAGCTGTGAGTGGCCCAAGGTCACCCAGCAGGCTTCACGTGGAGGAGGAGTGGGGAATCAAACCCAGCTCTCTATAGAGTCTGCAGCTCTTAACCCCTACACCATGCTGGCTCTCAGAGACTGGTTCCCCTCAAGGAAACAAAAGCTTTGGAGGACTGACTCTATGGCATTATCCTAGCCGTCAAGCTCCCTCCTTTCTCCAAACTCAGCACTCTTTTCTCCAAGCATCCCCCCCCCCAAATCTCCAGGAAGTTCCCAAGCTGAAATTGGCAACCCTAGCACTTCACTAGAACAAGACCAGGCTTCATTCACTGTTTGCGTGGAACACATCTTACAATACTTGTCCCAATGCTCCTGCTCCACAGTTGGAGGTTTGGTTATTTAAAATCAAATTGAATATGTCCATTTAAACATACCCACACATTTAGTTTAGTTTTTGAGTAAAATGTTTTTATTTTCACAAACATCAGATACATTGAATCAAAAATAATTAAAATATCCTTCCATTTGTCAATGAAAGAGGCAACCACTGACATAAACAAAATGGTGAAACGTAACAAATGTGGTGTAATATCTTGGCAGTCCAGCACATGAGGCTAAACAAATTGCTTCCTGAGATTCTGGGCTGCAGAACAACTCTATGCTGTTCTTATAGTATTGTTTCTAACTGTGTAATCCACAAGGACGATCGACAAGAAAGGTGGACTAAAAATGAAGTTAACAACAGCTATAAACATACTAAGTACATAACAACCAGAAAGTAATTTTGTAAGGAACTCCCCTGGTCTGTGTCAACAACTGTCTCAAGAGTTACTTCCTTGGGACATCAGAAAAAGCATCTTGAAATAAGTAAGGACATATATGTTCCTCTTCAGCTAGCATGGTGTGGGTAGTGTCAGATTAGGATCTGGGTGACCATTATTCAAATCTCCACTCTGTCGTGAAAGCTCACTGGGTGACCCTGTGTCCATCCTCTTAACTTGGCCTACCTTACAGGGGTGTTGTTAAGGAGGGGGAAATGATGTTGTAAATCACTTTGCTGCCTCAGTGGGGAGAAAAGTGGGTTATAAGTTAATTTTTCTTGAAGTATCACATGTGAATGAACACCTCTCTAAACTAAAAAAAACTTTTAATATGACCATTCAAAAACACTGGTGGCCAGATTTGAAACTGTGAGTGTCCTGTGGTAAAAACCATGATTCCAAGTCACAATTTTCAGCCCAATAAGAACACATGAGGCTGCCTTATACCAAATCAGACCATCAGTCCATCAGTGTCGGTATTGTCTACTCAGACTGGCAGTGGCTCTCCAGGGGTCTCAGGCGGGGTCTTTTACATCACTTCCTACCTGATCGTTTTAACTGGAGATGCCTGGGATTGAACCTGGGAAGATTCTCTGTCACTATGAAGAGCTGACGAGATTCATACAGCCTTTCTGGTATGCTTTGATGACTTGACCATTTCCCCCAAGTTAACTCCCTGATAGCACAGAATCCAAGCCAAAGCCTCTCAATGAGGCTTTTCATAAGCACAGCCAGTCATTAACATTAAAGCTAGCCATGCAATTTTGCTCTTCCAGACATTCACGAGGTAAACGTCTTCCTTATCTTTTAATTCATTTTAATAAAGAAAAAGATGGACATACCCGAAAGTCCTGAAGCCAATTCTCAGCTCTTAGGTGAGTAGCCACCATACATAGTGAAAAGCTTAGCAATGCTCTCAGAAACATGCTTTGAGCCTTTGGGGATATCGCAGTTTCTTCCCAACAGAAGAGTTATTGCAGATGATGGATCAAAATAACAGCACTTAGAGCTCTCAGAATAGAAGCTTAGATTTTTGGTTGTTTTCAGATGTTGTGGCAAAGTTGTTGTGTGTACGCATGCACCTTTGCACACAGACTGCATTTTCATAATTACTGGGCCCCCTAAATAGCCCACTGTCCTGACAGAAGGAAACAGGTAAGAGGTAACAGGTAGACCTCAGCCTGATACCCTGGAGAGCCACTGCCAGTCTGAGTAGAGAATACAGACTTTGACGGACCAAGGGTCTGAATCAGTATAAGACAGCGTCATCATGTGTTTGTCTGAAAGTTCAGGAAATGGACACTGTGGACAAACCAGGCCACACTGAGGCTGAAAGAGGGCAGTTGCACACTCCCTTTGCCACTGGATCCATCCCTAGGAGAACCTAGTACAGGGCAAGATGAAAGGCCCACCGATCTGTGTCACTAATGGACACCAGATGTTGCTGTAAAGGGCCAGTGTCAGGAACCATCTCCCCTTTCAGGCATCCAGGATGGGATGCTCAGTCACTGCCCAATTTTTGACAGACAGGGCCTCTGTTGAGTCAGCAGCTTCTCAGCCAGCTCAGCTACCTCAGCCTCGGAAGTACTGCCTGTCTGCCGCTGCTGCAGTTGCTTTTGTTCCCTGGGTTCCAAACCATAGGAAGTCATGAGCTCAGAAGTCGTTCGTTTCTTTAAAAAGACAGTCTAATGGACTGTGGCAGATAGGTCATGAGGGAGGCTTTGCTCTGCAGCAGAGAGACCTGCTTCTTAACATTGTTCCCGCAGCTGCCATCTGCTTTCAGAAAATCTGCTTTGTGTATGAATTAATGGCATAAGCGACGGTTGCCATGATCTGATCTAGTGACAGCAACGTCTGTGTTAGAAGGCTACCAGATTTAGTGAGTACCTAAACGGCTTGTCTCTTGTATATCCTCACAGTCGCCTTGGAAAGGTGATTGTGGCAGTCTCTTTTGAACAAGGCAGGCCACTGTTCCCTATTCCAAGGGTGTGAATACAATAAAAATATAGTCAACAGGCGGGAATGTGAACTGGATCTGGTACTTGATGAATATTGCAGTGGAGTAGGCCAGCCCAAGCATCTCATTCTGCTACAGCACTTTGCCTAGGAAGTGGATCCAGCAAGGTGGGGTGCCTTCTCCAGGCTGGGAAATTCCTGGAGATTTGGGAGTAGAGCCCAGGGAGGACAAGGGTTGGAGAGGGGAGGGACCTCGGTGCGGTATAATGCCACAGAGTCCACCGTCCAAAGCTGTCATTATGTTCAGGAGAATTGATCTCTGT